CAGAGGGAGGGGGTAGGGGGTGGGCCCTGTCCCTTGCCCAGGGCATTCTGGGAAAGGTACTGGCTGCAGGGAATAATAGGATTGATCTAGTGCTCAAGGGATGTTGGAATTAACTGCAACTCCAATGTATGCTGGGAAAGGCCAACCTTAGGAAATGATGGAATCAACACCCCCACCACCACCCCTGGGGCAGGGAGGAGATTGATCCCCACACCCTATGGCATAATGGGATTAAATCTCTCAACCCAGAGAATCCTAGGAAAAACCAAACTCCAGGGCATGAGGGGATTGATTTGCTGCCCTTGGGCATAATGGAATTAACCCATTACCCCCAAGGCATGTTGGGGAGCTCCAGCCACAGGGGATGCTAGGATTGACCACCCCAAGGCATAATAGGATTGACACCCCTCTAGTCCCAAGGGATGCTGAGATTGATCCCTGGCCCCAGGGCATGCTCAGAGCATCAGTGTCCCTACACCCCTGCAGCATGCTGGGAAGGTGTGGGAGAAGACTTACCAACACAGGCGCCCTGGCGGAAAGACATGAGAGGGCAGAAGATAGAGCGCACGGGCTGCGTCCCTTGTGCCACTGGGAAGCTGCGCTTCAGCTGCAGCCCTCCCTCAGTATCCACCACCCTATCAGAGGCAGGGGGCACAGGGGTGGGGAGGGGTGGGGTATGGAGCCCCCCCAACCTCTTGCTGCTCTGTCCAGCCCCTGACCCCCACACAAAAACGCCTCCCCAGGCCCCTGCTGGCCATCACACAGCCTGCCACCCCAGCTACAGCCCCCTCCCCCCAGTCAGGGAACCCCCTGACCCCACATTTCAGAACCAGCCACAGACACCCCCCACCCAAGCTCCTCACCCCATAGTCTGACCCTCCCCAGCTCATCCCCCAACCTCAGAGCCTGCTAGCCAGCGACCCTCTCCCATCCATCCCCCTCCCCACTGGTACCGGTAGAGCAGCAGGCGAGCGCCAGGGCCACGGGCGCTGACCAGCACTGAGGGGTCTCGAGCCTCACGGCTGATCCAGGACCGAGCTGAGATGCTGGTCACAGCTGCACCACCCCCCAACACCAGTCGCTTCGCCTTCGTCAGCTTTCCTGGTGGGAGCACAGGGAGGTGAAACTGGGACCTCCACGGTCTCCCCAAAGCCCACAGCCCCTCCTCTACAGTTCCCCAGTGTCTCCACCCCCTTCCCACAACTCCCACAGCCCCCCACACTTCCCCAAAGTCTTGCAGTGCCCTCCCTCCAACACGGTGGCCTGACCCTTACCTCTGGGCCCTGACATGCTCCATCATGCCTCAGCCCATCCCCCTGACACTCCTCTAAACACCATGGGGGAGGTACATTGGTTTCAAGGGGGGAAGTCTATGGAGAGGCTCAGAGATTGGAGGGTGGATCTGGGGAGGTGGAGAGGTCTGGGGGTCTCTTACCAGTTGCTACGTCAAAGAGGAAGGAGCAGATGGCACCGTGGTCATCGCCAGCCCACAGCAGGTGCCCAGGTGCATCAAAGCAGAGAGACAGCACCCGCCCACCCAGCCGAGCTGAGCCTCCCCGTGCTGTTTTCCCTGTTGAGATGTTCAGTACGTGCAGTCCCTGGCGCCCGTTCCCCACCTGCCAGGGGAGGGAGGGGGGGTAAGACGCTGAGATGTGCCCAGTTCTACATGGGGGAGACGGGACAGGACAGGGTGTCTGTCCATTCCCCCCCAGGATGTGCCCAGCTCTGGGGGATAATGGCCCAATCTAAGAGGCCAGAATAAATTGAGCTACCATCCCCCAGAGCTGAGTGTAACAGCCTGGGATGTGCTCAACTCAAGGGATTAATAACAGAATCTAACAGCGCAGGATGCACCCAGCTTTGGGGTGGAATAGGGGATAATAGCTGGGTCTAACAGGCCAGATGAACCCAGCTCTGGTTTGTGGGGGATGTGGGGTACAGCTAGGTATTGGGGACTAACAGCTCAGTCTAACAGCCCAGGATGCACCCAGCTCTGGACTGGAACAGGGAATAATGGTTGTGTATAACAGCCCAGGATGTGCTCAGCTCTTGGGGGAAACAGCTGAGTCTATCAGCCTGGGATGCGCCTTGCTCCGAGGCAGGCCCAGCACTCACCACAGTGAGGTTGTTGTTGAGGGGCTGGAAGACGCAGCAGAGCAGGGGTGCGCCATCAGGATCAGGAACCTCGCGCACACAGCGCCCATCGCTGGGGGCCCAGATGCGCAGGGTGGTATCCAGTGAGGCTGAGACCAGCAGGTCGTTGGACAAGGCCCAGGCAAAATCAGCCACGGGCCCACGGTGCCCGCGTAGCACCCGCAGCACAGCTGGTGGCCCTGGTGCAAGGCGGCACACTGACAGTGTCCCATCCCATGAGCAGCAGGCCAGAAGGTGTCGGTCGTCATGGGCAAACGCCACCTTTGGCACTGCCATCAGATGGGGGAGGAAGTGAGGGGAACAGGCCGCCAGGTATCCCAGCATGCCCTGGGGAACGTCCCCTACTACCCCAGGAGGTCCTGGGGATCAGCTTCCCCTCCCACCACAAACGCTATACTAGCATGCCCTGGGGATTGGCTCTTCCTCCCCATATCCCAGGATACCTTGGGGCAGACATCAACCATCTCAGAATGCCCTGGGGCTTGGTTTCCACACCCAGGTATGCTGGAGCAGCACCCCCTATATTGCAGAATACCTTGGGGTCTGGTCCCTCCCATACCAGGTATTCCAGCATGCCCTGGACAGGGCCCCTCTGTTATTCCAGCATGCCCTGGGGATCAGTTTCCATCCCCCAGGTAATCCAGTATGCCCTGGGGATTGGTTTCTCTCCCCCCTGGGACAGTTCCCTCGTATCCCAGGATGCCCTAGGAACTAGTCCCCCCCCTCATATCCCAGTATACCATAGGGCAAGCCCTTCCCCCCACACCTCCCCCCCTAATACAAGCATGCCTCCAGGAAGTCCTTGTACTATCCCAGCATGCACTGGTGATTGGTTTTCTCCCTACCAGGTATCACAGAATGCCTTGGGATCAGTTCTCCCCCACCCTCCCTCAAGTCCCTAACTATCCCAGCATGCCCTGGGCTTCCCCCATATCCAGCAAGCCCTGCTCCCCTGTCCCTTATCCTAGCATGCCCTTCCCTTCCCTGTATCCCAGCAAGCTCAGCAGCAGAGCCCTCACCGGCCTGGTCGGCATGCTGGTCAAAGATGTGGTAGACACCAGCAAAAGCATAGTTCTCGCTCAGGGTTGTGTCCCCAGCCATGGCCCGGCTCGCCTCAGCAGCTGCCGTCGGCACCAGCCCCCCTGGTGGCCTGCACAGAAGCCAGGGATCCAGGCAGCTTCATACCATTTCCATGCCCAAGAGAATCTAGTCATCCAGGCCCCCAGCTCCTCTGCTCTCACCCCACAGCCCCCACTCCCCTCCCAGAGAACCCAGGCATCCAGCTTACCTGTCGTCATGGGCAGCACGGTTCATCTGGGCCTGCAGTTGGTATGAGCCACGGCTGACGGAGCGCCGGTGCCCCCGTGCTCCCAGTGCCCGTGCCTCCTCCTCGAAGTCCTGGGACAGGGAGAGGGGATTGTTACACTTGGCCACTGTACCCCAGAGCTGGGTGCAATTCACAGTCAAACATTCACCAGCTGTTCCACCCCAGAGCTGGGCACATCTTGGCCCTCTCCAGTGGTGTTACCCAGCCACCCCGCCCGAGAGCTGGCTACACCTCTGTTCCAGGCCGAGTCCAGCTCTGGGGTGTTATGCTCAGCCATTCCCCAGAGATGGCTGCATGGCAGCATTTCAGAAGCCCTCCCTGGCCAGGGTTCTTCTCAGCCATCCCCTGGCCAACCCCAAGATCTAGCTGCCTCCAGCATTACATTTAGTTATTACCCTTGGTTCCCCCCCAGAGCCAGCTGTCTCCTGTGTTACACTCAGCTGTTTCCTGCCCACCTCCTCCTCCCCAGAGTCAGCTACCCTGAGTGAGACACAGCCATTCTGTTCTGCACCCCCCACCCGGCAGTTGCCATGACTTATACTCAGCTACATCACTCCACTCCACTCCAGACCCAGCTGTTCCCCTCAACTTCTACCTAGACTCATCCCCCCTCAGTGCTCAGCCATCTCCCCCACCCCGATTTCCCTTAGAATCAGCTGCACCGTGTAATACTCAGCTGTTCCCTATCCCCGTGTTCCCCCAACACCCAGATGCCCCCAGTATTATACCCAGCTGTGTCCCCAACTCTGCTCCCAGAACCAGCTGCCAGCACCGTTACTCAGCTATTCCTTATCCCCCTGCCCCCCCATTCAGCTGCATTCAGTGTTATACTCAACTGTTCCCTATCCCCATTCCCCCCAGACTCAGCAGCCACCGCTGTTATACTCAGCTTTTTTCTCCCCACACTCAGCTACCCTAGGTGTTTCAGTAAGCCACCCCCTCCCAAACTCAGCTATCCCTACTGTTTTATTTAGCCATTCTCCCCAGACTCAGCCTCCCCCAGTGTTATCCCACCCCCACCCCAGTTCCTCCCCAGATCCAGCTGCCCTGGATGTTTCACTCAGCTCCCAACCCCCACCTGTGGCTGCAGGCCCGGCAGCTGCTCTGCTCTGACAAGGGCCCGTAGCGTTGGGCCAAGAGCTGGGCACGCAACCGGAGGTATCGGCGCCGTGGTCCTGCCTCAAATCCAGCCTTGGCGTTCTCCCGCAGCAGTTGGCTCCGGCGCCGGATGTACTGGGTGCGGAACTGGGGGAACCCTGGTGTCCGGTAGGCGTTGTACCTGCAGGGGAGCTGGAGTTACATTTGGCTGTTCGCCTGTTATACCAGGCCATCTCCCTCAGAACTGGCTGCAACCACTGTTATACTGGGCTGTTCCCCCCACAGAGCTGGCCACATTCTGGCCTGTCACACCTAGCCTGTCACACCTCCCCTCCCCGCAAGCAGCCGCAGTTATCGTTATACTGGGCTGTTGTTTCCCCTGAGCTAGTGGCAACCACTGTTCTACTCAGCTCTTCCTCCCCAGAGCTAGCCACATTCTGGCCTGTTGTACCCAGCCGCCACTCACCTTGCGTCCACAGCCAGCACCTGCTGCCACACGGCTGCCATGCCCCACCTTGCTGCAGGTGGGTGCTCAGGTGAGCTGGGGGCAGGAAGGAAGGGGTTAATACCACAGGCGGGGCCTCACTTGGGAGTCCCACCCCGTCTCCCTCCCTCATCTCCAAGGAAACAGGCTCCACCCACCAAGCCCCGCCCGAGACACCCGCACAAGCCCCGCACTTTCCGACTGCTCCTCGCTTTCGAAACCCAACCCCAACCTTCCCTCTTCCCTAAATCCCGCCCTTTGCCATATGCCCTTCACAAAGCCCCGCTCCCTCCATGACCGTTCCCCTGCCAACGCCCGTCCCCTCACTGCCCCACCTCGCCAAGCCCTGCCCCCTCGCTTAGGGCCCCGCCCCCCGCAGTGCCAAGGGAAGGGCGGGGCTCGTAAGAGGTGGAAGAGTGTGCAGACTGCCGGGGGAAATTCACTGCCGGCTCCTCCCAGTGTACGCTAGCGGTGGGAGAGAGGCGAGGAAAGGAGTCGATACCTGAGCTTCTCGGTCCCTCTCCTGGTGCTGCCGGCTTTAAAGGGTGGAGCCAGCCTGGATCGAAGCTCCGCCCACCTAGCATTGCGCATGCGCCTGGGTAGGGAAGGTGGGAATCCCCCTACCTCCAGTCTAGCTCTGACCATTGTGTTTGAAGTCGGGGGCGGGATCTGGGTTCGGTCTGGGATGCCTGGGTTCCCTGCGCGGTGAGAGCCGGTACGCCTGTGCTCCGTTCCAGGGAGTGTTTTGGAGATACTCGGTTGCTTGGAGTCCATGAGATAGGCCAGGCTTGGGAGGGGAACGCAGGTGTCCGGCTTGAAGAGAGGAGGGAGATACCCTGTTCACCCTCGCAGGTGACTCCTGACACTAAGACGGCGACTGCAGCTTTATTCCAAGATGGCGACGCCTACGATGTTTTCTTTCTCTCTTCCCTGCTCGCCCCCCTCCCACTCTTGAATATGGCGTCGCCCTTGTCACCTCTCCAAATAACCGCCCCCATAGGTTTTCTCTGCAGTCCTCTCATTCCAAGATGCCTTCTTCCAAAGCGAACTTTTTCCCCTTTCCAAGATGGCGCTCCTCCACTGACTTCTCACGATACCATTCCACTTCCTTCTCATGACTCCACCCCCTTTCCATTGGCACCGTGGGGGGCGGGCCCAAGCTGGCAGGGTGGGCTCTGATTGATTCCTTCCTGCTCAAGGGTGAGGAATTGCCTCGGGGCTGGGACTGCAGGATGGAGTGCATGCTGGAATGACCCAGGCAACGCTACGGAAAACAGCTCTGATTTTAATTGTGGCTGGAAGCATCAAATCCTGGCCGCTTAGATACAGACGGTCTCCATAGAGACCGTAACCAAGGCAACTGAGGCATCTCAGGCCCCAGAGCATTTCGTCCCCTCTCCCAATGGAATGGTTTCACCCAGGATGGCCCCCTTTGTGGTATCGATCAATCTCTGGTTAGTTTCATGGAGTATGGTCCTTTCTCCCTCCCTGCCAAAAAGAAATAATCTGCTGGAGTGGAATGGCCCAGAAATGACTCTGGATAGGAGCTCCCTCCTCCAGGATAGCCTGCCCGCTCAGTGCCCTAATGAATCTGCCCCTTCAAGAAAGCCCCCTCTTAGGGCAACTGTTTGTTCCAGGCTGGGCAGGATAAAGCACCCCTCCCCCCTTGGTATACATGGAACATTTCATCCCCTCCTGCTGCTGTGGATGGATGGGTCCATTCACAACTTTAGCTAGGAGGGTGGGGAGCAGCTCTTATCCTCCCTGCCTTTATAGAATGGTTTGGTTTCAGGATAGAATTCCCCCTTTTTTTTTTAATGGACCAGTCTATTTTCCTCCATCTCCAAGCTCAGGTCAGTGGACTGTACCATTACGACTGAGGTGGGGGGGCCTGCAGAACAGTGGACCAAACCATTCCACTCTGAATACGAGGGATAGGAGGAATTGGACAAGCCTATAGAACCCAGGTGTGGGTCTGCGGGGATATGGAACAGATTGGAAAATACCATTAACAAAAGGGGGAAAGTAAATTGGCTTGTACTACTGCATTGTCTGTATGAGGCAAGGGGGGGGGGAATGCAACATATTTCTGTAGCCACAGGAGAAGGGATGGCTGGTACCACTATCATAGAAAAGTAAGACTGGAAGGGACCTCAAGAAATTATCTAATCCAACCAGAGACTGCACATAATGGGTGGGGTACAAGAAAATAGAAAGTCATTGCAAAGGTCAGATGGGGAGAACTTTGCAAAGGGGCAGAAGGGAAGGTACCATTGAGTGATCCATATAGGGGTAACAGCCCAGACTGGATTATTCCATAGCCCTTTGGCAAGGAAGGGAAGGAAATGGAACATACCATTATGTAGACCAGAATAGAATAGACAATACAGGCAGTCCTTGACTAATGACTTTGAGTTACAATGAATGGCACTTACAACCTTTATAAATGTACACCCTGTTTTGAGGTTCTGATGTGGGTTTCGACTTTATGATGCTAGACAGCTACCTCCAGCTGGTAAATCCCTTGGGGGGGGGGGGGGGAGGGAAGAGGTGTGAGGGGGGCAGATCAATGCCCCCACAGCGAGGGAGGGATTGGGGCTGGGTTAAGGTGGCTCCCGCCACTGTGTGCTGCCAGCCCAGGAGCGCATGGGAGGGGGTGTGCCCCCAGATCCCCGTGGGGTGGGCAAGGCCGGGGCTGTGCTGGGGTCGGGCAGCAGAAGGTGCTGGGAGCAGGGGCTATGCCCTCCTGCCACTCGCCCCGCTGGGGCAGGACAGAGCTGCTGAGCTGCCGCCTCTGGACAAGCACGCAGGCGCCGGAGCCGCCCTGGCCTCCCTGCGCCTCCTGGACAAGTGGTGGCTTCGTCCCATACCCCCTCCTCCCCTGCTGCCCTGGTGGGGTGAGTGCTGGCAGGGCATGAGGGGGTTGTGTGCTCCCAGATTGGGGTGGGGTAATGGCTATGGGGGCAGGCTGCAACCACTCTAAAATTTGCTGTAGCCCCTGCTGCCCATCCAGTGCACAGCCTGGTGTAGCCCCTGCCATGCCGTACCGCCTCTCACCCTGCCAGGGTGGGGCAGAGGGGGGCACAGGACAAAGCCAGTTTGTCTGGGAGCCACAGGGAGGCCAGGGCAGCTCCCACCGCTGTGCGCCACTTTATCCAGAGGCAGCACAGTGGCTCTGCCCTGACCCAGAGGGGCAGAAGGGCATAGCCCCCACTCCCAGTGCCTTCCACCACCCCCCCGGAGTGCAGCCCCAGCCCTGCCCACCCGGCATAGATCTGGGGACACGTGCTCCCCCCAACATGCCCTCCTAAACTGGAGGCAGGAGCAGCAGTGAGAACCACTGGACAAGCCGCCAGATGAGCAGCTCCTGGATCAGCAGCGCACAGCAGTAGGAGCAGCCCCAGCCCCTTCCCATGCCCGCCGCCCCAGCTGAGCAGCGCTTGCCCCAGCTCCAATCCCTCCCTTGCAGCAAGGTGTTGATCCGTTCCCGCACCTCCCCCCCTAACAAAGGGCTTACCAGCTGGACGCAGCTGTGTCTAGCGTCCTAAAGAAACCAATCCCCCTTTTATAAACATTGTTCCTAAGGGGAAATTGGTTCCAACTTACGATATTTCAACTTAAGATGCAGTTTTCAGAAACCGATGGCGTCCTATATCTGAGGGCTGCCTGTACCACTACTGTCCCGACTTGGGGTGTGAATTGTCAAACCTCCAACCTAGCTGGCTGGAAATAGGAAATGGAAGATACCACAGGCCAATGAGGGTGTCCAGAAAGAGTGAGGCAGAAGGTTCTATTATAAAAGACAAGTCTGGGGTAGATGGTTAACAGAAGACACCATTGCACAGTCCAACTAGGGAAAGGGATAGAAAATGGAACATACCATTGCACTCAGAGGGGAAATAAGAAATGGCAGATTCTACTGCCTAAACCAGGGATAGAAGGGAAGATACCATTGCATAGCTCAGATAGTGGGGCCAGGCTGCACCATCACCCTCTGTTGTGGGTGGATGCCCCCAGGCACCGAGAATATTCCACATGATGAGGGGGAAGGGCCTGTCTTAGCTCTGCCTCTTCACCTCGGCCCCCCCACAGGGCCTGGTACAGACACTCCTTGCTGGGTACCAGCCAGGGCCCCATAGGGGGAGCTGACTAGCCCACTGGCAACCTTGTTCCCTGCTTTGGGGCCTGGTCCCCATGTCCAGAATCAGGTCCTTCCCATGGTGGTGGTCAAGCTCGAGGTGTCAGGTCAGGCTGGGGAGGACTGAGCTCATGGTCTACGGGGGAAAGACAGACAAGGGAGGTTAGGAGAAGAGATACCCATAAACACAGTTCACCCCACTCCCACCCCTGAGGGACTCTCCTGAAAATAGTTTCAGCCCCCCCACAAAAAACCAAAACCCTCTTCCCATGGCAGGTGGGGGGGGGGCGGGGGGGTTGTTGTTGTTGTTAAAGTCTCAATGCCCTGAAGGGGAAGATGGGGGGGTATGGAAGGTCCCACTATCCTAGGTCCACTGGGGAGGAATGGAAGGTCCCAATACCCAGGTCCATAGGGGGTTGGTGTGGAATGTTCCATTGCCTTGGTCCACTGGTGGGGGGAGAAGGGTTGAAAACTCTCATTGCCCTGGTCCCTGGGGGGCAGGGAAGGTACCACACACACACTCCAGGGTATCCTGGGGGAGCACCCACCACTGGCACTCTCAGTGTCCTATGAGGCAGAAGCAAGGCTCCCCCTGGGAGGAGGTGGTGACGCAGAGCGCCAAGTGTCCAAACCCAGTCGCTGCAAGAGGGTCACACCTGGGCACTGTGGAGGGAGGGGCAGGCAGGGGCCATGGGGAAGCATGGGGGCAGTGATGAGGGAGAGGAGAGGAATTGGATAAATTCTGAACCCAGATCCCCCATCACCAAACTGGAAGGGGAAGGGAAGGGAAGGGAGTGGGGGGAGGGGGGGTTTCCCAAGGTGCCTTGGGGGTAGAGAGGTGTCTTTATACTGGGTTCTTGTGGGCTGTATCATCCCCCCGGGTACAGGGGGACTTGTGGGCTCTACCATCTCTCCTGGGCTTTTTGGGGAGGGCATCACTATGGACTGTACTATCTCCCCATTGCATTAAAGAGGTGTGGCGGTCCCCACGGATCATACCATCTCTGCACGGTGTACAAGAGAAAAACTGGCTATATTGTTTATTCTGGGTACTGTGGACTGTACTGTGGCCCCTGAATCTATGAGGAAAGAGACTTGGGGATCATGATTGGCCACAAAATGAATATGAGCCACCAATGCAATATCGCAGCTGGCAAAGCAAACAAAACTCTGGCTTGCATTTACTGATGCATCTTGAGCAAGACCCAGGATGTCATCCTCCCACTGTACTCAGCCTTGGTGAGGCTGCAGCTGGAGTACTGCATCCAATTCTGTGCTCCACAATTTAGGAAGGATGTGGAGAAGCTTGGAAGAGTCCAGAGGAGAGCCACACACATGATCAGAGGGCAAGAGAACAGGCCTTATGAAAAGAGGCTCTGAGCTCTGGGACTCTTCAGCCTGGAGAAGCACAGGCTCAGAGGTGACTTGGTGGCAGTCTATAAGTACAAAAGGGGTGTGCATCATGATCTGGGGGAAAGCTTGTTCACCAGAGCACCCCAGGGGATGACAGGGTCCAACGGTCACAAACTGCTGCAAGACTGTTTTAGGCTGGACAAACTTCTTTAAAGTCCGAGCCCCCAAGGCCTGGAACAGACTCCCCCCAGAGGTGATGCAAGCATCTACTCTGGACACTTCCAAGAAACATTTGGACATTTATCTTGCTGGGATCCCTTGATCCTAGCTGACTTCCTGCCCCTTGGGCAGGGGCTGAACCTGATGATCTTACAAGGTACCTTCCAGCCCTAATGTCTAAGAAATCTATGAGGACATCCTATGGATTGTACCGTATCAGCTGAGTATAAGAGGGAATCCCTGAAGACTGTGTCATCTTCCCTGAGTATATAGAAAAAGAGTTTTTGGGAGCCATATCATCTCCCCTCCATGTATAAAGGGGTTTCTTTTGGGTTGTATCAATCTGTTGCGAAAGGGAAAGGGTTGCTTACCATGTGTGGGGACAAGGCCATTGCCACGGTGCAGGACGAGACGGAGGTGGGGCCCTCCCCAGCGGATCCAGTCCAGGGCTTGGGTGTGTGTCAGACTCTGGGCCGGCACCCCATTAATCTCCACCACCTGGTCACTTACCTGGGGAAGGCAACGGGCTGTGACGATCCCATGGAACCACTGGGGGGGGTGCCCCAGCACCCCAACCCTCCACAACAACCCCCTTGCCTAAGCCCCACCCCCATAGGACTCCCCCCACTTCCATAGTGCCCGCTGCAAATGCACAGAGCTCTCTCTGCT